TGAACAAATTAAGGTCTAATGAAGATCGTTCAGTTTTGGAAATTTAAATAGCCATGAAATTATTTCATGTAACACATTTGAATAGTATGAATAGTTAAATATATTTTTTTAATTTTAAAACGTATTTTTTTTTCACTTTTCATTGTTTTCATTTTTCTTGGTGTACATATTAATAAATAAATGCATACTTTACAATTTTTTATCGCACATTAATCTCAGCCTTAGTGATCATGTTTTGTTTTCCAGATAATTCTGAAGAAACCAGACAATTATATTTTTATTTATTGATTAATCTGAGTGATAACAGTTTAAGAAGGATGTAACTTTTTAAATTTAAAAATCCTAAGAACCTGTTTAGTAAAAATATTAAAGACGTTGCAAAGTATAAGTTAGTATCATTAAGTATAGTGGTTGTAAGTAATTTGAGGTTAGTTATTTAAAATTTTAATTATTTGAACAAATTAAATCCTTGCTATAATTTAAAAGAATAATTGTAATTATTATATTATTATTATTATTATTATTATATTTGTAGAACTTTTTAATACTCTATTGCACATCATTTCTTAATTACTAGAAAAATATGATCAATCAAGTTCATACATTTTATCAAAACCATTCAAATAAAATTGTCCATATTTACAGTCAACCATTTACTTTTTAATAAATTTAATTTGTTTTTAAATTAATGCAAATTAATTAACTACGTGTATTAAATTTCCAGTAAATGAATAATTCATTTCTTTCACATAACTTAAAAAACTTTTTTATATGCAATTTGTTAATGAAAAAACTTAAATAAATAGAAAAGAATGATAAAATAATAAAATAATAAAAAAAACATTATATTTTCAAAAGTACACAATATTTGAGGAAACATAAAATGTGGAATTGTGTGTGTAAATTATTATTATTTTTTTAATTACAATATAGTGACTTTGCAAGGCTAAGATAAATCAACATTTAAATTATGTAGACGATGTGCTGTCATTTTGTACTTCCATTGAATCATCAAGTTTGTCTTCTTCGTTATCAGCATCTGTCAAACAACATTAAAAAATTAATATAATTTATATGTATATACAAATATTGATTATAAATTATTAACATATCATTTGTAAGTAATACATTCAGCTAATAGATGTTTAACATTGGTCGTAGCATCTTTATTTGACGGTTTAATAAATGTATTATTTTTATAAAAATAAGCATAATTAAAATAATAACAATATATGCCTTTTATCTTTGTTGATGTGATTGAATTTTGGTACTTCATTAGTTGCAGTTAGGGTATTTACAATAATTTTGAATGTAATCATAAGTATAGCTACATTAAAAAATAAGAGTACGGAGAGATAGATTATAAGCTAAATCAAAGTGACTAAAATATACATACTTAAAATTTGGCTAATATGGAAAGCACCTGTCGATAATTTTAACTCCCTATTGTTAATACTATTTATTGTTTTGGAATCACCTCCCCAAGATGAGTGTGATATTTTTAAAATATTTAGTGAGTGTTTGATTGAAGTATTAAGATAATGTATACGTGTTGCTTATGCAAGTTAATGATCAAAAAAGTGATCAAGAATCTTTGGGGATTGGATTGTTGTCAAGTGTTAATTAAAGTTTTACAAATTCTAGTATTTTTTATACACAATGTTGAGTAGTGTACAATTTATAATCAGTAGTATTTATTTAAGTTAAACCATAAATTTTATATTTAATTATTTCGTTTTAGTACTGTTAAAAATTTGAATATCTAAGCAATTGACTCATTTTTATATTACTATAAAAAAAAAAAAAGTATTAATAACTATTTGCATAGGAAAAATATATTCCTTGATGGCGCTTGATAAAATTTTTAAACATATTTTGGGCTTTAATATAAAAGATTTACAACCCTTTCATTAAACTTAAACAATAAAAACTAACCTATCATTGCATAATGATCAAACATGTATTCTTTTTGATATTCTTTCATAAGTTGAGTTGAACGTTCTTCATCCAAAAACAGTCTATAAACCTTTTTTACATCATCTACTGTCACTTCAGTGGCTTTACGTTTTCGGCATACCAAATGAGCAGTAGTTATTAATTGAATGCCATATCGTAACGAAGTTGATTTACTGATCTTTGCTAAAATAGATAAGGCATCTTTTGATATTTCACAGTCTTCTTCTTCAGCCCTTACAAATTTTAAATTATATTGCTATTAAAACAAGAATAATAATATTAAAACTATAAATGATGAAATAAATACCTTATTTTTAAAATTTGTTCTAATTCATTTTCTGAATAGGGTTGTGTCATAATAATGACCATACGGTCAAGCAAATCAAGTGGTACACCATGCGGTGATTTATAGTTTGTACCTCGGATGTTTGTCACTCCACGGTTAGTGGCTGTTATTACAATTGGAGCAATTTCATTTTCTAAAGCTCTGTTTAAGAATGAAAAACATTCTATATCCAACATATGTACCTAAAAATGGTTTGATATTTAACACAAAATACTAATACACTAGTAATAAGTAATAATTATAATTACTTCATCAATGAATAGTACGCCAGCTAATAATTCAGCTTTTCCTTCTTCACGCCATTCGCTAACTTTACAATTAATTTGATCTCTAACTTCTGACTTGATTTCACCCGTATCGCCTAAAAATAAAAAAATAATTTTTATAATTTTAATTTAAAAACATTCTTTTTTTTTATATATAAAAAAGCAACAATCTTTTATATTATTTCTAAAAAAATGTTTTTGAAATTCAATATCAATAGTATATCAATAGAAATTTAATACACAAATTTATAGCTGGAGGTATTTATAACTAATTACTTATAAAATGATTGGTAAAGAAAACAATGTTATTTTTAATTTAAGTTTATATTATAGTTTTATATTTATTTATCTATTTTATAGCATAAAAATCAGAAGAACAACAAAAACTATGAGAAATTGAATAGTTATTATTTGTAATTGTGTATAGATATAATTATGTAGTACATATCACTGAAAAACTAATAGTAAATAGTAAAGCAAAAAAATAAGAAAATATGTATGAAACTAAAAATCAATATAAATGATTTTATTTTTCAATTTAATATACATCACGGCATAATTGATATTTTACCTGAAAATAGAGCAAGGAAACCGTGGGTCCTGGAATTAATTACATCAATTTCATGTAATGTTACTGTATGAACAACTTCTTTGCGTTTTTGAAGTTCACCTTCTGGACATTGCACAAATCTAAACATAATATAATTACTCAAGTGTAATGTTATAAATTTAGAAATCAACCTACCTAGTTTGTGGGCCAGATGCATCATAATCTCTTGATCTGGTAAATGACCGTCCAATTTTGTTAACCTTGCCACTAGCAACATCAATGGTTACGACATCTCCAGCCAAAACCTTTACATACAAATTTAGTAAAAACTTAAATAAGGCATCAAATAAGCATGTTTTAATTACTTTTTCTTTTAGCAAAGCTTCAATCATTTTGTTTCCAAGATCATAAACAGTTTCCATGTCTGTAGTTCTCATAGTTAATTTTCCTACTTTAGATCCTGTTCCTGTAACTGGGCGTTCTATTTGGAACTCTACTACTTCGCCTTCAATAATCTCACTCTCCTCTCTGTAAAATATTATTGTTAAAAATGATATCATTAAATATATAATAATAATCGTAACACACTTGATGCGAACACCGATTGATTTACGAATGGCTTGAGTCAATGCTTCAGTTTTGCTCATTTCTAAACTATATATCTCCGAACCAGACATGCATGTAAATGGTGTATCAGAACCCAAAGCCTGTGCTAATGCCATAGCAATGGCAGTTTTCCCTATAAAAAAAAAAAAAAAAACAAAAATTCAGTTAGCATTAGTTGAATAAGTCTATAATGAGCTAGCAATTCTTGGAGTTAGTAAGATGAATTATATAAGTAGACATTTGAAATCTTGCCACAGTTTTCAAAGATGTAACAGAGAGACTATGGTTGATTTATGGAATTCAGAAATAAGAATAGAAGACTAGAGTAGACATATAAGAAAGTCCTTAGCATGGCATGTTTAGATGTATCAAAGTCGTAACATCATTACATTTCCACATTTCATACTTTAGTGCACTTTATGAAACTAGGTAGCGTTAATTAAATAAACTATTTTCAATTATAATTGACTTAAATAATCATTTTAAATTAGAAGGTAGATATATGCTATGTGCAAGTACGCAGTCAATATCCAATGAGTATAAAATTACCTGTGCCAGGTTCACCAGCGAGTAGAACAGACCTTCCAGCAATTTTCTCTTCTTTTATCATGTCTAACACAACGCCCATGGCTTTGCGAGCTTTTAACTGGCCAACTAATCCCTGTGAAACCTAAAATCAACCAAAACTATCAGCCATCAATTAGCAGGAGATACTAATTTTGAAATACTAACATTTCTAGGTTCCCTGTTGTCATCTAACCCAAGTCCACGTATGTGAGAGTGGGCACCAATACGTTCTACTCGAGAAATCTCCCGGACTTCTTGCACCTTGGCTACTGCCGCTGCCTAAAATCAGTATTATTAGTGGGAAAGATGGTAATTTATTATTGATAGGTACTGCAAAACATCAAAAACAGAAACAATACTTACGGACATGGTAGTTTACAAAAGTAAACAAATTTGAGATTATTATTAATTTTATTTTTAGACCGCACGATACACGAGATGTAAAAAGCGTTAATTACTCGAAAGTCGTAACTATACAAACCACAAACATTGATCAATCAGAAAACTGATTAAATATTGGCAGAAAAAACACAATATTAGTTTTTTATTTAGTCACATAAGAACATAACCTACAAATAATATCCGGCGGGAGAATTTTTATCATTAGATAGAAGTAAAGAACGATTTTCAGATTTTGTGTGTTGACCACAATAATTGAGCGGAGCATCGGTTTCGGTATCACTGTATCAGAAGACGTCATGTTTACAGTCTTCGATTCGCTACTTCGCGTTTATTGATAAAAAGAAAATAGAAATACAACTGACAGTGCTTTACGAATTTAGTGAATTTACGATCGTCGTCGTTTAGACGTCGACCGACATAGTTAAATATTAATTGAATATTAATAAATAATTAATTTCTATATTTTTTTTTAATCTCGAATAACTTATCACGCAATCGGTTAGGAATACACCGATGACTGCTGTAATTATATTTATAGTTTTTGGCGCGGCTCGATGAGAACGAAAAATATTTTCCGGATCGCTATGAGTAGAACAATGTAAGATCTATTGTGCCGGCAATACCGACTGAGATACTGAACACGCGATAAAATGTCGTACGAACAGACTGCTTGCGATGGTAAATTATGTCATTTTATAATCATGCCTATTTTAAATAAAATCTGCCGATCCTAGAGGGTTCTCATACTTTCAATATTTTGCTCAAAATTACCTTTTTCCCTTTGATGCACAATCCCAACAAAACATTGTTTATTTATAAAGTGTTTCGTATGTATGGTAGATTTAATTTTTTATTCCTGTTATAGGTAACTACATTTGTTCTTTTTTGTTTTGTTTTAAACAATAATGACTCGGTTCACACTAAGAGCTTATTTAACATAGAAACATTGTTTTCTAAAGCAATATTATTTTTATGATATGCATACAAATTTTGATGTTGACTAGGTAGAGCTATTTATAAAAAATAAAGTCAAATTAAACAAGAATTCCTATTTAATTATATCTCAGTTTTATACTTTACTATTATTTTATACTTACAAGAGCTTTGCCATAATATTTTTAATTATTAATATGATCATGTAACAATGTATATAAATATTATTTTATTAAAGTAAATAACTAGAATATAACACATAACCATTTGAATAAATAGATATTCAAAATTAAAATGATTTTACATAAAAAATAACATTATAAAACTTAAATATTTGTTTTATAAATATGATAAATTTATTAAACAAATTAAATTTTATAGATCTAAAAGCTTTTGAGCGGCGACTAACTGAGGTGATTGCTTCCATCAAACCAATAACTAATCGATGGCGAAGTAAGAGCATTTTATTTGTTAAAGTGCAATGATAATGTATAAGTTTATTATTTATTTTTTCAGCAATTTTAGCTATTTCAACATTAAGTGCTTCAATAGGTGCCTATTATTGGTTGACAGATCCACAAACTGCTAAAGTATCATTCGTCCAATCCCTGTACAATCATTTATTGTTCACCATTTCATCTATGATGCTAAGTAAGAATACTTTAAAGATATTTAACAAATAGCATTAGTGTTTAATTGTTTTAATTTTTTTTTAACTAGTGATATTACTCATAACTGGTGTTCATAAAAAAGTGATAGCAACATCAATAATAACGTCACGTGCGAGGCAAGTGCTAGCCGATTTTAATATGTCTTGTGATGATTCTGGAAAACTAATACTTAGACCTAGGCCTCAACAGAATACATGATGTTAAATTTATAATAGCAAAACGTTATTTTTATTTTGTTTTTATTTGGTCACTAAGAGCTACATAACAATTGTTCATAAATGTCACTCTATTGTAATAAGTAAGGTCTATAATTTTGAATTTTAATGTATCTAATATATTTATGTATATAATATAATTAATGATTATTAATGAATTATTATTATTATATTATAAATATTCTTTATAATATGAATAAAATAAATTTGTTTTACTTATCTGAAATAAAAAAAAGAATTAAAAATATATGTATAACTTACCAACATGTATGTAGTATGTTTCTTTGTGAATAACATACTTTCAATACTTTAACTACTTTTCTATTTATTTTATGAGTATTGTTGGAAAATATATTTAGAGTATATTGTTCTCTTTATCATTTGTATAATTAATTCTAAAGCGTTCACTGCCATGGTTTTTTAGCTCTTAATTTGATATTAGATAATATCCAATTTATTTAAAAGCTTAATTTGGATTGTATTGTTTAAATAACTAAATAATGCAATTTACAATGTATTTAATTTTCTCTGTTTGTAAATAGATGTTTAAGTGTTCAAATCTTAAGTTGGGGCATTATATGCAATAGTTAATGTTGAAAATTATAAACCTATCTTGATCATTATTTATATTAACTAAAATATTAAGCTTTTGCGATTAAAATATTAATTGAATATACATTTCAAGTAATAATTTTAAATACAACTGGTTATTTGTATTTAATCATAATTTATTCCATGTTATTTACTATTAATTTAAATTGCTAACCTGTTTTACTAATTTTTATTTTTCATTATAATTCCAAATACCTAATATATTTTAAGTTTTGACATTTAAATTTTTAAGCTAAAAATGAGTCTGTAATATTTATAATGTTTATTTTGTTTAAAAATTAAGATATCAAAAAAAGCCAACACTTAACTACAGGTAATATTCTAACCCATAAATTTTATTATAGATTAATTTACTTTTATATTAAAACTAACAATACAAAATTGATTTTACTGAAAGCAAATTTGCTATATATATGTTTGTAAGATAGAAAACACAAGGTAGTATCACAAGTGGTATACCTATTTTAAATAATAAAACTATACTTAGAGGTGGACTGGGATCCAACAGCCCACTTTTTTGAACAAAAATTTACCTCTAATATTTAAAATTACTAATACTTAGCATACAAAAAATTTTACCTCCTAATTTTTTAGTTTTCAAATTCATTATTTAAGTAAAAGATTTGTATTTTTTTATTGTGTTATTTAAATTTGACTTCCTTGAAATATAATTGCATTATAAAATTACTATAAGATAAACATTTTTCTTTTTACTAATGCTTTTAAGAATTATTTATGATAAAAGTTTTCTAATAACTATTTAATAATTATGTAACATGAAGATAAAAAAAGATAATTTAAAAAAAATAGTAAGGCACTTGTAACAAACTCATATTTTTTTATTTTGGATTACTAGCCATATTAGCCATATTATAGCCTGCAAATTAATTTTAGTTTTTTTAAATGAACAATTTTCTCTCTGTTCTTTGTTTTTTCTCCATTGTAGGTAGTAACTATTAAATTAATAAATTAATACATTGATAAAGTAATGAAGGTAATAAAAAGAAATATTTAGCATCAAAGAATAGCCTAAATTTAATTTATATTCACAAATGTAAAAAGATTGGTGGGCCACACAAAAATAAAAATTTCATATTTATATTATTATTTATTATAAAGAAAATAAATAATGCTATATTTATTTAATTTGTAATTTTTAAGAATAAAATGTTAATATTGAATAAAATAAAATGATGTTTTATAATAGTATGGAAATTGTAACTATATGAAAATATATTTAATGCGATTTTTGCTGTTGGATTTTGCTCGCAACTTTTTCAATTTCTACATTAAAATTACTTGTGCCAACTTTATTAAATGATGGAAGTGGTCATCAGTTAATCATAACCTGAGTGGATTTTTAATTTTTTTATGTGAGAAAAGGCCTGTTCACGTATGTACTTTGATCCAAACATGTCTAAGTATTTTGCAGCTATTTTTTTTAGTTTTGCAAATTCTGAAGAGAGTTCAGCAAAACACAGTGAAGGTGAAAGTTTGAATGCATTTTTAAGAGTATCTTGTGGTTGTAATTCTATAATTTCTATTTGAAGATCAACAGGAACTTCATTAATATCCATATTAAATGTATCTGAGAGTAATGTTAAATATTGTGAACATTGTTTAAAATTTTGAAAGTGTTTATTAAATTCATATTGAGGTGTCGAAATACCTTCAATAAACTTAACTGTCAAAAATGAAAATTTTTGACGATTCAAACTTATATATGCTGAAAAATGTGATAGTTCATTTATTTCAGTATGAGACCGTAAAAGTTTTAACTTGGTTTCAAATGATTTAATATGAGACCACATATCAAGAATAAATTGATTTTTACTTCGTAGTTTTATTCGATATACTTTAATATATTAATGAAAAATAGCTTATACTATACCAAACACATGTTATATTTTATCATGATTGATTAAATAAAATGTGCAGTTAAGTGTTACTTTTATTGAATATGTTTGAAATGTTGTTAAATATGTAGTTATATAATATGAAATTAAATTTCATCAAGCGGGCCATATAAAATTGATCCACAGGCCCGCCCGGTTGCCAACCACTAACTTAGACGATAGAGAAATATTACTCCATAATTTAGGTTTAATTTTCAACAATACACATAATTTTTAATGGCGATGAACATAACAAAACTATTACATTCATAAAATCCTGTCATTCTATGTAAAAAACTGATACATAACAACTGTCTTTGTGTTTATATATTTAATACATTAGGGTTTGCAATAATTTCAAGGAATTATTGTTATGGTAAAAAAATGTATTTTCATTTTATATCATTCTTAAAAGTTGGTAGCAATTTGGAAGTTTATTAAACTTTTTTGCAAAAAAAAAGGTCTATGTCAACAAAACAGAAATCTTTGAAAATATTTTTTCTATCAGTCATTCAGTCATGTCATTTACAATTATCTTATTTGTGAAAATATTATAAATAATATTGTTAGTTTGTGTTAGTGCATAAAATATAAATTGATAAAATTAACTCCATCATCTTATAACACAATTTTTACTCTATAAATGATATAATTAATCTAATTAATAAAGTTTATAACACTTATTATATTTATATACCTATAAACATTCCTTATTTTTTTTTCAATATAATAAATTTAACTCAGGAAACTAATTGCATATATTTATGGTCCCATATATTTTAACTTTAAATTGTCTATTTTCTCCAATACTTTTGACATAATTTATACAATTAAGTTGGTCTTAAAATGGAAACAATGTAATTAAAAATGTATATTATTAAAATAAAATTGGCTACTGGATCATGATGATGTGAGATGAGCTGATTTTTGTCACTAATCAACCCATATGTTTCCAGTAGGTTTAATATTCTGCTATTTTTGTTTACTGTTCCGACATGCCCCAAATATATATTCTTTTTTTTCTAAAATCTATTAATTTAAAGTTATAGTAACTATTATTATTATCAATATAAGATATTATATTTAAATCTTAGTATACCCTTTGATTGTAATTTCTTTATTATATCCATCGTGTCATTCTAACACATCATTATATGTTCCCTATCTTTTATGTGCAGATACTGCTGAAGATAAGTCATAGATAGATTTGATGCCCCCCACAAGTTTATATTTTAATCAAGTTCTACCAACAGTGATTTCATCAAATCTGGCATATTTTGAAAAATCCTATTTATGTTCTGCAAGTGGCTAAGGTCCTAACCTTCTAAGTTAATTGTCTAATGCTATTGTGTTTAGTTTTCCTCATTATACATTAATTCATCATAAATCATACATTTCACTTGAGTAATATACATTATTAGAATATTTAAAATCTTTACTGTTAAACTATAGCAATAATTAAATATATGAATATATCTTATCAATAATCACTAAAAATTCCTTTTTTAAGACTATTTTTTTATGCATTACAAATTCTAAAAAGATGATATGATTCAAATAAACTGATAATTAATTATTAATTATTGTTAAAGAAATTAGTGTAAATAAAAAAATGAGCATGTAATCTTATAGATTAAACAATAAATAATATATAAAATAGGTAGAATATTCTTTTTAAGCTCATTTAAAATATTATTAAACCAGATCAAAATTATATGTTTTATTACCAGTTTTACACATTAGTTTTTCAACTTTAAAGCTACGACAAGTATCAACTTCTATTTCTAATTCTAATGATTTTAATTTAGATCTTAGCTGACTAGATTGATCGCCCAAACACCAAGCAACACTCAGATGGAATTTTGGATCCTAGAACAAAAATTAACAGTTTTATAGTCATTACAAATATTGTTTAGTTGAAAACGAATATTATTGTTATTAAGTGTATATGGATAGTTAAAAATACCATAAAATTTCAAAATATATAAAAATTAAAAATATGATTAACGATTAAGTACCTAGTGAGAAAAAGAAAATTTGTCATTAACTGAATGAATTAATAAATGAAAATAAAAACAAGTATATTGATTTAAAAAAATGGACTTATGGATTATAATAAAACAAAAATCACTGCATTATCAATGGATATGTCTTGTTTTGGCAAATGTATTGTAATAAAAGTTAGGTACTATTTATTTTTAAACACTCACTTCATAGTATTTTTCTAAGTTATAATCGGACAAGACTTTGTCTAGTTGATCAACACATTGAGATAAAACTTCCTTAGGTTTTGCAAGAAAACCAATAAATGTTCTACTACAATTTTCATTACAGAAAACCTCTAAGTTTCCAAAAGTTACCGAAAATCTAGAAAAATAATTTCAAACATAATTCAATATTTTACATTGGAAAATAAAGAAATAAAAACCTTAGAATTGTTGATAATTTAGATTTTATATCATTGATAAAATGTTGTATCCAGTGATACTGTAGTACAACTGTTTTTGTAAGACTGATATGGGGATGTTCAATAATTTCCAGGCCAAATTCAACCAATTTTTCTTGAATGATTTCTATTAAATCCATATCTGGACCTTAACACAAAACATATTATTTATTATTATTAGTAAAGAACTATTTGAAAATAGAGACAAGAAATAAAACTGCTGACTTACAAGGTATATAAACATAAGTGGCCCAATTACCACGCTCATGTTCAAATAATCGAGTACGTCCTTGGTGGGAATCAGGTTTGTCATTTGGCTTTGGATGATACAGTTTGCCGTCAAACATTTTAGTAATAGCTTCAGGGACTGGTAACATTTTTTGTTCGGATTTACTATAGTTAAAATAACAATAAAAATTCTCAATACTTAGGAATTATAGTTGTTGACAAAATTTATGATCTGTTACGTCAGTAACATACACAATATAATAATACAATGAGTTTAATTATATTACAGATTAAATAAAATATAAAATAAATACAATTTACAATATGTTTCATTTATCTGTGACAATAGTGTAATACGTTACTCATGCTCGTCGTCGCTGTCTCCACTGTAATGCTGTATTAAGTCCATCATATAGCCACGAATAAAAAATTATATTCACTTCAATAATGTAGAGATATTATAATAAATGCATAATCTATACTAAATCATACTTGTCAACTTTCACGACGTTAATTAATTTGAACAAAAATAATTAACAGTAAACATTAAAAATTTAAAAATAATCAAATATTAAAATATTTATTATTTAGTATAATTATGAAATTTTGAAAAAAAATCAAGACATTTTCAAACTGAATAATTGTTATCATGGTATCACGAAAATATTCTGTGATGATAACAACTAAGGTTTTATACACGGTTTCAAGAAAAGAATACATGCAAGGCTACTACCAGCTGTCCTGTAAACTATAAAATATTATAGTAGATTTATATAATTAATAAAGGTAAAAGGTTGCTTCACTTCTGAACAGAGTCTTTAAGTTATTGAAATTACTGAATTTACGAAAAACAGCTGTGGCGTTATTTACAGAACTCTTTACAGAACATTTAATATAAATCTGTGCTTTGCATTCAACTTTTTTTTTTCTCATAAAGGGGGCTGGAAAAGGTACAAATAATTACGTAAAACAGGCCAAATGGCAAAAGCTAGACAAAACTGGAACTTGGGTTTTATTTTTTTTAAACTTTTAGACGAATTTCAATTTTGAAAACTAGGTAATTGAGTATCTTAAACAACTCTACTTAAGTATGACCATGGAAATTTATCATTATTACAAAAATTAATCACGTGTATACTTAAATATATAAAATACCAAAATTCTTATTCTTTTAGTTATCGATATGTTATCGAAAAATTTGAATAAATTAAATCCTTCCGGTCATTCTCTGACTAACACAATGCCTAATTAATATCAATTTTCAAAATAGATCTACCAAATCCTAGTCCCTCAATTTTTTCTATATTTTTGGTATTTTTTTCATTTGAACAGTATGGCGTATATTTGACATATTATTGTGCATCCGCGTGCGGAAATCAATCATAAGGCGCTTTGGCGGTTCCTATTAAAAATAAACTGCAAACATTCAATTCTTGGAAATTGGAATATGTTTAAGATAATAAAATGCAGGTATGCTGATGATGAGCACAATAAAATAATAATAATTTATTAACGTTCGGCGTAGGTACCTGTATTGGTCCTCTGCCGATATGTTATTATTCTATAGCAAGTGAAATTAATGTTTCTATTTTGATTTTTTAATATCGATTAGACTGGCGTCTGCTGTTGTTTGAAACCATTGTGCAGTCCTTAGGTAGAGATTTTTTTGTATAACATATTAATACATATTTGTCAATTGTTATTTTTGATGCTATGTTTGTACTTATCGTTATCAAATATCAATATATAAAATATACCTACGAGGTGTTGAAGCACATACGGCCAATACGATGAAAAACTTTATGGGTTAGGCAATCATACGATTATATCAAGACTAGATAATTGTTTTTAAGAATAATATTGTAAGTTGCGTCCTAATTTTTTTAATGTAAATTGCGTATTGGATATTTTTGATGATTATGTTTATGTCATCAATTACTTTTTGTTTTAAATGATTACTAAGTTTTGGTTTAAAGTTATAATATTTTCTGATAATGGTTCATGATATAATGTTCATTAAAACTTTCAATTGCTATTTATAGTCAATAGACTATTTAATTTTTTAAAACACTAGTCACTACGTTTTAAAGATATAACATCAACGTTCAAAATCACTTTTTAAAAACTTATAAAAACGAAATTAATGACCACTATTTGCGTAATGAAGTTGATCCTAATAGAGATTCATAATGCCCTTACATTGATGAATAAATTTAATATTTTTCTTTAATTATTACCAAATATTAGCTGTATTTTTTTATCATAATAATTAGCTCTTTAACAATGAATTTGAAATTCAATAATATAAATAAAATATAAGCTTTAAATATAAGTTTTCTGTCACTCTAATTACCTAACCCTAACCTAACCTTGCTGTTATAACTAATTATGTATATATTATTATTTTTGTTTACTTCTATGTAAAAAGCCGTTTGACGCATATTTATAAAATAAAATAAAAATAAGTATAATAATTTTTGCCTTAACCCGTAATCGGCTTAATAATAAATCAAATAATTTTCTAAGACGGGTTAAAAAGAATAATATGCAATAGTGACTACGAATACTACGATAAATTATTATAATACAGTAGAATCTCGGTAATCCGGCCGTTCGATAATCCGATACGTCCAGTAATCCGGCTGTATTAACCTATATGTACCAATATGTATTTATATATAAATTTACTATCGTAAACGATAAACCGCCGTTAGATAAAACTAAGTAATAACAGGTTAAATCCTAATTAACAAAAAGAAAACCGCTCTCAACCTAAAAGATTTTTAAATCATTTTTTAATACGAGTAAAAATGTAAAATTCAATAAGTAAAAATGCGTTTTTTTGTGAACTCCCAATTAATCCGGCGTTTTTGTTAATCCGGCAATAGTGTGGTCTGATATGTGTCGGATAACCGAGATTCTACTGTACTTTTAATACAGAGTGTACTCCCACATTTCCGAAGTGAATTAAAAATAACAATGCAAGATAAAGTAAAAAAAAATTTATTTTTAAAAACTATATTATATAAGGTTTTTTTAAATTATTTTTTAAAAATTATATCGTCTAAATGATTGCCTTGACAAGCAACGCACATATGGAGCCGTTCTCGAAAGTTTTACATCACTTTCGCCAGCATATCGAGTGGAATCGCGGAGATTTCTTGACGGATGGCCTCTTTTAGTTCTTCAATGGTTCTTGGTCGATGTTTGAAAACTTCAGCTCTGAGGTATCCCCATAAGAAATAATCACATGGGCTCAAATCAGGGGAACGAGGAGGCTATGTAATGTTTTCCCTTAAGGAGATCAAGCGACCAGGAAACATTTTTTGCAATACAGCACGAGAACAACGGACTGTATGAGTTGTGGCCCCATCCTGTTGAAACCAGAAGACATCATTATTTTCGTACTCTTCGATTTTCGGGCGTAAAAAGTTCTCCAACATTTCGCAGTACCGGTTGGAAGTCACAGTAAAATGTTTCCTGGTCGCTTGATCTCCTTAAGGGAAAACATTACATGGCCTCCTCGTTCCCCTGATTTGAGCCCATGTGATTATTTCTTATGGGGATACCTCAGAGCTGAAGTTTTCAAACGTCGACCAATAACCATTGGAGAACTAAAAGAGGCCATCCGTCAAGAAATCTCCGTGATTCCACTCGATATGTTGGCGAAAGTGATGGAAAACTTTCGAGAACGGCTCCATATGTGCGTTGCTCGTCAAGGCAATCATTTAGATGATATAATTTTTAAAAAATAATTTTAAAAAAACCTTATTTAATATAGTTTTTAAAAATAAAATGTTTTTCTTCATCTTGCATTGTTTTTTTTTAATTCACTCCGGAAATGTGGGAGTCCATTATGCCGCACTCTGTACTTATAAATAATGATAAGTGGTTGGCCTATGTCGGCTTGTAAAATTCAATAATAAAAATATACTTGGCTTAAACTAGCCGTTAAGTATAAATAATATAATATTATGTTTGTTTAAAACGGTTTTCAATGAATACCACAAATTGTAATATTGATGATATGGCACAATTTTATTACTATAACTACCTACTTATTGGAATGAGTAATGACGACACGTTTCCTCGTAATAATAATTTCATGGCATTATCTAAATAACTTTTTACCAACGCTATAGTTTAGAGATGCATTTTTATAAGCAAGGGATGAAGAGAATACCAATTAATGTATTATAATCATCTCGAAGCGTTCAACTATTGGATTAATGAAATATAATGCTGTAGCGTATACAACTCACTGCACGACATATAATTCACATAACCACAACTGATATGATGATTATTGATTGATATTGAACACTTTAAAGTTTGGGAAAGAATATTAACGAAAAGAAAATAAATGTTGCCAAATAAAACTTACAAAATAATATTCAAATAATATAGAAATAGTATAGAGATTTTATTTATGAAGGTACTATAAAATATAGTCTAGCTACAAAACAATATTGCATTAAAGAAAAATCAACGCGGTTTGCATAATGTACCATAACTGGTCGAGATGACAATTAAATAGCTAAAGAAATGGCAAAAAAAGAAAAAGAAATCGTAAAACATTTTAAAACGAATAAGTTAATGAAAATAAAAAGTTCACGTCATGAAGTTTAGCCAGTATACAATTTGAACAAATAATCGTTAAGAATATTTATAAACACGGAAAGGTAATGATAATGAATGATGTTGATAACATTAGGTAACTTTTTTGATAATTGTTGATGAGTTGAGCCTTGTGGACCGATTCAGAACTAGTGAGCCGTAACACTACCAATTATGAATATAAAACAATAATATATAAGCTGTTGTTTAATGTTTGCTGCGTAAATAACCACCAATCAATTTTAATGTTTTAATTTTTTCACTTTTCATTATATTGTATAAATAAAAAAAAAAACACCAACTTAAACTTGCTTTTGTAGAGATCGGTGTCGGTGACAGGGACGATTTCAGAAAATGTTGTGGGGGGGGCGTAGTCTTCAAAATTGCCGAATAAACTTTTTATACCACCGTTTATGGAAATTATTTAAATTTTGACAACTCACATTAACATGATGGATGTATCTAGTTTTTTATTTTATGTCTTTTTTTTTATGCTTTTTCAATTTCAATGACCATAATGTCTAAAATATAACGTGACCCATCAAAAATATAAATATGCGACCCATAATTCGGGAACCTCTGTACTAAATTACTTTTAGTTTCATTCTGCCGACTGAAAATCAAATATTGCCGAGTGGGAGGAGGGGAGTGTAACATTATATATGTCATAAACATATACTCATATAGTATAGTTTTACAATAAATTAAACAGAAATAATATTATATAATATAATAAATATATTGTGTAAAGTGTTAGTGTATTAATATTGATTGGTTAAGATCTCGGCTATGTTATATGGCTAGAAGTTATCTTATATTTATAACATGGCACAGATATTTACAAATATTAATGTCATGGAATATTTGGATAAAAATAGAAATGCATTGGCCGGCGGTCACAAAAAATAAATTATTTATAAAAAATAAATATTATTTATTGAAAATAATGTAGTTGGTTAATCATGA